ACGTGTCTGCTTGCACAGAAGCATGTCGCGATGTGAATCTCCCCATCCAATTCTTACTCGATGACACACATTTCGTGTGTTTTATGTGAGCAGTTCTGTTCGAACAGTTGGAGTAGAGAATATTGTAAGTTACTGCTAGCAAAACAATGCGAAATATGTAATTATTTTCGGTAATCCGGACACTTTTGGTAATCCAACACCCCTTTGGTCCCATACCTGTCGGATTATCGAGGGACAACTGTACTGCGGTTTTGCAAAAAACATTTAATGCAGAATGAAACACTGGTATAAAATGGCCACTACAAATAGCTGTTATAAAACTATTCTCGTTCACAAATTTTTAAATTAAAATTTTTTTTTTATGACAAAAATATGGTGGCACTTGAGGCGCTAACAACAAGCAAACACTTGATTCAGGAACTGCTTGTTTTTGATTGATAAAACATTTTTGACCATCATTAGTATTCATTAAGGAACAACTTTTTTTGAATAATTGTTCTTAGAATACCAAATTACTCAAACAACTAATAATAATTGAACATAATTTGAAAGCTTTTACACATTTTTACAATTTGATTTGCCTAACAGTTTTCTTCACATATTCAAGGAATCATGCTGTTAACATCTTCCAGAATGATCTTAATGTGGCATAATACAGGCATGGCCAAAAAGCCAATGGCTGTGTCATTTTTGGCTGATTGCAGATAATATGGCTTGTTAAAATGCAAAAACATTTGTAATTTTAATAGGGTTATTAAATCCATATTTTCACAGAGAAATCTTTAATTATTACGGATTGGTAATGCTGTGCTCTGAGATTGATAGGAAGAAGTGCCCTTTGTGTTGATGGTCATTGCTAGCCAGGTATATCATTTTAGAAATTGTTTTATTGTACAGTACTGCAAATAATTCAGTTTAGTGCAAAATGAGTGTGCCAGAAAGAAGCAAAACTTGTAACAATAAGAAAAATTGTACTTTTTTCCTATCAATTTTTGTGATAGAAAAAAATACAATTTTTTTTTTAATGATGAAAAATACAAGGTGTCATTTACCAAATATACATAAGTATCTTTACTAAAAAGAGAACTTGGAATGTTAATTACTGTTAATTATAAGTAAATACAACTTTTTGCAGAATAATTTCATTAGGACAGTTTATTAAACTTTCATGAAACAAAAATTTGGAGTAGTTCAGCAGTACTTTTGACACTTAAAAGTTGATCACTCCCAACTGTATGTTGGCTTGGCCTGGCATAAAGTATGCATCAGTCTTGTTTTTATGATCTGCTTGTATTTAACAAAAATTAAAATGTATATTTGTTCTAAGAGCCATAGTAGTACTTTGCAACTTCCTTGTCATAGGAGTGTGGGATATTCCAGCAGAGCCAATATTCCAGTGTACTGTAATATTGACTCTGCTCATCCATTGTGAGAGTGTAGTGGAAAATAGTTCTGATCTAGGATTTGTGAATGAATGATCTTAAGATGTCCTTTGATTTTTATATTAATAGATCTAAATGTGGTGCCTATATAATAGAACATTTTTTTAGATTCCATAAGGCCTACTGCATACCATGTACATCTTGGTTTGCTATTACCCTCTAGAAATTCTTATTGGTTCTAATGATATCAATGACTAGGATCTCCTAGTGACTATTTGCTTAATACAGACCCAATGTCAGATTTTAAACTAATTTATTAAAGGAAAATGATTTTAATATTAGAAGTTCTTGAATAAAATGAAAATTTTAATGAATGCAGTTCTTAAATTTTACTGCTGCTAGAAGTATTTTAATTTTGGCATATTGAGATGGAGAAAAGTCTCAAAGTGTTAGCTTTTCAATGTGATAATCTTTTTGTGATGTGAGACATTAAAATGAAGACCTCATGTTTCTTCTATGTATGAATTAAATGAACTCTATTTAAAATTCATATATATTCTATATATTCCAGATATATAAATCATATGTAATTTAGTATATAAATTTCTTTTCCAGAGAAAACTTATCTTTTTATATCTTTAGCAGTTATATAATTATTTTTATAATTAAATACAGTATTATTTATTATGTTACATGTTGCCTACATTTAGGTATGGTATGGGATGACAAGAACAATATCAAAAACAAAAGCCTAAAAGTGTCGGTGTAATACTTTAAACTTGGGTACCTTTCTAAAAGTTCTGTCTTTGTTCTTGCTGTCTTGTCACGTGCATTGTCAGATAATTACCAGAGGGAGTTTAGTGGAATAAGAAACATGTTATGTATATTACAAAATGAAGTTTTTGCATCTTCAAGAACATCTTAGATAGACAACAACATATCCATTTGACTTCTCCTTGGATGCAATATTGCAAATATATTTACAACTTTACAATATACAATATAAATTTTGTCAATATATTTAGAACTCCTCTCTGTGTTTTTGCTATCCAGTTTTTCTATAGGAATATTTCTTCTTTGAGAAGCTCGGAGTCACCACAATACACATCAGTGAGTCCTCTCAGGTATACAGTCACAATTTTTAAAAATTTATTAAAAATTTCATTTTTATCAAATAGCTTGAAAATATCACATCCTGGACTGTGTATTAAAAACATTTTTTACAGTTAAAGTAATTTTAAGGTAAACAATGAAGGCATGTTTTCGTTTCAAAATTACAAAACTTGTTTTGTTAACTGTTTGCACCCTCTATTGAGTACAAGTCAGATGAAATAAAGGGTGGGGTGCTGACATCATTGACGGTTTTGGATTCATATAAACCAAACCTGTTTTACTCTACTCTGCTGTACTTATNGTAGAGGAATCTCCGGCAACTTAATATTAGCGGAATTATTTCGAACTACGGGGCCCTGAGTCACCGTGACCACGGACGAATCTGCTTCTAATCGTTTAATACGAGACTGGATCTTAAATTTACAACTTATAATTTTGTCCTCATATTCTTCACTATTGACTGTCTCAGTGTCATACTCAGTTTGGCTAGTAATGAAACCCTCAATCTCCCCGTTTAAGGTTCTCAATGACTCTTCCTTTCGACTCAACTGATCCAGTATTTCTAGATGAGTTTCTGTCTCTTTATCGTCGCTTTCAATTAAACTATCGATTTTACTAATTAATTTCGTCACACTAGCTCTTATCGAAGCGCGCTTTTTCTTTAATTTCTCGAGTTGATCCATTTTAAACTGTCTACCACGTATAACGGACAGGTAAATTCCTCCTACCTTGGATAGGTGACTTAATGAAGTTTGACCCAATCTTATTTGCTTGCGAAGTTGTCTCTCTTTTCTTCTTGATCCGCCTCGACGGACCAGATGTTTGTCGATCTTTAATGGACTGTAAAAATATTAAAGTACTGCGGTTTTGCAAAAAATAACGTTTAATGCGGAATGAAACACTGGTACAAAATGGCTGCTACAAATGACCGTTACAGAACTACTCTCGTTCACAAATTTAAAAAAAAAAATTTTTTTTTCCTTTTTTTTTATGACAAAAATACGGTGGCGCTTGAGGCGCTAACAGATTTATTTAACCTTTCTCACTACTTTTTATCTTTTGTCTTTTCTCTTCTTTCCCTCCTTTTCCCAAATTTGGGTCTATAATCCTTTGAGTCACAACTCTAGTTTTATTTAGTAATCCTTCGTCATTCACACATCTCCAAGTATTTGAAAATATTTCCTTTTCACTCAAAAATAAAATATGAATGAAGGTTTACAGCTTTGTGAAACTTTTTTTTTGAGTTTATGCTGTTGAAATAAATAAATAATAAAAATTAAAACATTTGTCGGTTTTGTTTACATGTTTATTGGGCCACATTGAAACTTGCCTTGGGCCGCATGCGGCCCACGGACCGCGGGTTGGACACCCCTGCCCTATAGCATACGTCACTACTTGCATTCATATTCCTTAGTGGGGCTCTTGGGAGCACTCTCTCTGGGGGCACGGATGGCAATTAGCTTTCTCTTGCTTTGTTTCAACTGTCAGTATATAGTTGCTTTCAACTTTGTATTTTAATTCTTATTTTCTGTCTTCTTTTTAGTCTAAATTCTGTTAGTCCTAGTTGTAAGTTAGATTAGGGAGTCTTATCTTGATTTCTGGTTAGGTTCGTCCTAGGTTATGGTAGGTTAGTTTAGTTAGTGAGTAAGTTAATGTTTAAAAAATAATAATAATAAAAAATAATAAATAAAATAAAGTAAAAATAAAATTTTGGGGTCTTGCATGTTTGTCTTTTGTCCAACTGTTCGTCTCATCTAGTTTGTCATCACATTCATTTGTTTTTTCATGCTGTCTGTCTAGCTGTTAAGTAGTATTAAGATTTGCACTCACGTTCAGTTATTCATTAGTATTAAGTGGATATAAGTCTTCCTACTAACAGCCACTTTGCATTAACTTCTGCACTTAGCTATTTGTGGTGGCACTGAATCGTTGATGTTCGCTACACTCAGGTTTTCTTTTAGACCCTTTGGAGGACTACAGCCTTGCAGCCTAAAAACTGCCTGCCAACATCAAACATAGAGGGTACAGTAGCCATACGTACACCATTCAGAGGGATCCTATCTTTCTCTACTATCTATCTCCTCTCCCTCCTTCTCCCTTTTCACTTTCCCTTACCCTCTTTTTTGCTGGCTAAACACCTTGTGAAGTCTTGTATATATATATATATATATGTATATGTATAGCGTATTCCACAAAGTCATTGACAGAATCTCAACAGAGATATCTGCAGATTGAGAAGGAAGCATTTGCAATGGCGGCATGGGTGAATAAAGTTCCATGACTAAATTTATGGGAAGTAGTTAACAATTGAGACTGATCATAAGCCATTAGAAATCATTGCAAAAAAAAATCTCTGAATACAGCACTACATTGATTACCAGTGCATCTTATTCAATGTTCTCCAATATGCACCAACAGTGGTATGCAATCATGGCAGAGACATCCTTGTGGCTGATGCTCTAAACTGAAACTGTGCAGCAGTAATTTTCTGTGACCTGCTAGATGATTTTATTGTCACTGTGGATGTTCCCCTGGCAGAATGTAAGGTAGCTGACATATGTCAAGCTATGGAGGAGGATACTAAACTACAGCAACTTATTATGGTCATACAAGTGGGCTGGCCAGATTTGCTCGACCAGATTTCAGTTGCTATTTGTGAATTTTGGATGTACAGAGATGAACTATCAGTATGAAGGACTCATCTTTAAAGGGGAGAGACTCCTAGTATCTTTTAAACTGCATCTTGCTTATCTTTGAAAGTTGCATCTGGGCTATCCTGGGATTCAATTAATGCTCAACTGAGCAAGACAAATCATTTTTTGGCCTGATATGACGCACAACATAGAGAACATTATGGCAGCTTGGTCACATTTGCCATGCCACAGCTTATGCTTCTGATCAGGAGTCTCTCCTCATGAAGCCAGTACCACGTTATCCTTGGCAGTTATCACCAGTGATTTGTTTGAGATGGTAGGTGACACTTATGTGTTAGTGGCTGACAGTTACTTGGGTTTCTTTGAATAAAAAAAATTAAACATTCCCCACATTGGCAGTTATCAACTTTTTAAAGCATGTTTTTGCAGTGCATAGAATTCCGGACACCCTTGAATCTGACAATGAGCCTCAATACTCTTCACATCAGTTCCGTCAATTCTGTTTACATTGAAAGATAAATCACATGACTTCCTCTCCGAAATATCCTCAACCCAACATGCTGGCTGAGAGTTATGTACAAATGGCCAAATCCATTATCAAGCGATGTCATGCTGATGGAACAGATGAATGCTTAGTGCTTCTTAATTGGCAGAATTTACTGCACAGTGTTCTGGGCTCTTCTGCACAGCATTTGTTCAGCAGGCAGATGGCAGCATTATTCCCAATTTACCCATCAACAAGATCTGCAGGTTTTCAAGATATTTTCACTAAACTACAAACCAATTGCCCCTCGCAAGCACAATGTCATTTGTCTTAAAAGTGCTCTTCATTGCCTGAACATTCTTTAGTTAGATTTCGAACTGCTCATAGTCAATGATCACCAGCTATAGCGGAAAACAGCTTCCATAACCGCATTCCTACTTATTGCATCCTACAGATGGTTTGTTGCTAAACTGTAATTATTTTATAGTAATACCAACCAAGGCGCAGTTCTTACCTATTGTTAGTCTAGCAGTTCTTGCACAGGACTCTACTGCTTGACAACACGAGAATAACACTCAGTTGGCTGACCATAATCGAAGAACAGTCAAAACATTGTTATAACCACTTGCTCTGCAGAATTATACATCTTCCAAATAGAATAAACTTGTAAACTAGTTCAATGTGTTCGTTATCTAGCAAGGCATGTATAACAAAAAAATAAAAAAATAAAAAAAAAGGAGATTTTGCTTTATTCAGACACAATAACGTGACTTCTTTTAAACACTTGGCAGATTATCCATCACTTTATTTAGTACCCAACTAAATAAAGTGATGGATAATCTGCCAAGTGTTTAAAAGAAGTCACGTTATTGTGTCTGAATAAAGCAAATTAAATTAAAACACGGTTTCATAGGAATCAAAAAAGGAGATGTCACATGTGTCAGTTAGACATTTTGCCTGATTGCCAATAGAGGGCATTTAGTCTTGTCTACTGTACATGGTATGATATCCTTTGTCTATTTCCTGCGATAACCAGTTTGGCAGTTTTGTACTAGAACTCATGCTAGTGACTAGTGTCTATACTGTACATGCTTCTTTTTATGAATAAAGCATTACAGTCATTGTACTTAGACTTGACTTCCTCTTAAACATGCCCATGTAACAAAATGTTACAGCTTTGAATAGTGCCATGTATAGTGTGGTCTAATTATGATAACCTTGTACATGTTATGGCCTAATGTTCTCAGTATTATATTGTGTTTTCTAGAAATGTAATAACTGTTGGACATATTTTGTATATTTACAGTATGTGATAACCATGATTATGGGACAATTGAATCAATAAATTTTTATTTACTTATTTCATTTTTTTTTTGTTTTTTCTCACAAGTATGTTATAGAGTGCAGTATTACATAAATAAAAAAAGACAGACAAAACATCCCATCATTGAAGGTGTAAGGTTAGATATTTTAATTACTTTTACTATTATAATTTGCAGAATTTTTTACTTGATTCCAGGGACAAGTGCCCTATTTACTTTTTTTGCCCATGACATTGGCCTTTCAGATGTTGTTCCTACGTTGTTCTATTCTTGTCTTTAGGGTATAGTGTGTAAGATACTTATGTATTAAGTAAAGTTCTGAGGCTTATTTCTAGCCACAAACACTGCTTTTTTGTTCTTTTGAAATGTTTTGAAATTTGAATTTTTTGTTCTTTTTTCTTTCTCATTCTTCATTCTAGATGAAAAATCAAAGGTGGCGTAATATTGACAACATGGATACTAAAACCAAACATTTGTTGGATTATATCAGGTTATATTACTATATTATTATTAATGCTAAGTAATTTGGCATTTGAGGCTGGTGTTAGTGCCATCTACTGCTAAATTTAATAATTATAATTAAATTAATATTTTAATAATTAATTTAGAAGGTTCTGAAAAAAAAATAGGCTGAAAGTGGGACTTAAATGGGACTGAAACATACAACGCTTGCTTACTGTGTGGCGTGTTGCCAGATATGCTACCTGGACCTTCAGTAGATCCTCATATCCAAACTTATTAATTTGGATTTAACCATACTTGGTTACTTACAGGTGCTGGCTGGAGATGAATCAGTTCCCTTGGCCTATAACTTCCACTATGGCACTCAACTGTTATCACTTCTATCTGTATATGTGAATAAACATACAAACCCAATAGTTATATATTAAAGCCAAACAATTGTAGATTACCATGCCAAGATAGAAACAATAGCCAGCTGAGTACCATAGTGGGAGTTATAGTGGGTATTGAGTCATCTTCAGCCAGTGCCCATAAGTAATTTAGTATGGTTATATATAAATTAATAAGTTCTGGAAGCAAGGATTGGATGAAGGTCCAGGTAGTATAACTGGCAATGTGATTCTATGGTAAGTGGGAATTGTAGGTTCAAGTCACACTTCAGGCCAATTCTTTTCTTCCAGAACTTTCTAAGTTAATTATTAAAATATTAATTTAATTATAATTATTAATATACATTTGATAAAATTGCCAGGACTATAATTAAAATTAATATACAGTTTAAGACTATACGAAGAGTCTTTCGATGTCTTTTATCACATCTCAGGAAAATAACAGTCTTACAACAAAATCGACTTTTTATTAGATGCTGCTCATGACTTTTTATCAGAGTCTTGTAACATTTTTCATAGTTAGGCAGATGAGCAGCCTCTAATGAAAGGTTGACTCCGCCATAAGACTGTTATTTTCCTGCGGTATGAAAAAGGAAATCAAAAGACTTGTTATTGTATAGTCTTAAAATGTATTAATCATTTGTTTTGTCTAATATTTTTGGGATAAAATAATACAAGTCATTTTAAAGGCATTAGACCTTAA